AGAAGCAGCAGACAGGTCTGGCTGCACTAATACTAATACTGAAGAAAAAAATACGTTACCTGACACTTTAGGGTACATGACCATGTTTAAGATAGCGAATAGAAAATATAGGCTTAAGTTCTGCTTTGCTTTACAGTTATAGAGGTTGGAGGAAATACCAGCACAGAGATGCAGAAGCCCTCCATCCAAATACCAACAGAGCAGGAGAACTTGACCTTTTTGCTACTAGGCGAAGGCAACTCACAACCTACAAAATATGCATTGATTACAGGCAATAAAGAACCCCAAGAAGGAGAATACTGGGTTTCATAATAAAAGAGGTATGCGACATACTCAAGTGTCTTGATTTGGAATCCTGTCAATGCAATATTGTATGACACCATCACTACATAACAGTGATGGTCTTTTCTCCTTCCCCTTTAACCTGCAGAAATTAAATCACTACCACTGGCTCCCACATGCTGAACAGTGACATTAGATAAGATGTCAGCACAGGCTGTACTGCACACAACACTATTCAGGACACTCATTAATATTAAACGCCTAAGTACTTAGATGTGTATTCAAGCAGTCTTGTGCAGAAGAGTTTGTATACAAGATGGAGCCTATTTCACACACAGTTAATTACAACTAATCCACAAATACTATGGGGAAGTAAATGTTCCAGATTTAAAACAGGAAACGAGACTCTGCCGTCATGATTTCTTGCACTAATTTACTGAATTGGAAACATATACATGAATAAACCATTTTTGCCGTGATAGATACTGCTCTTAAAATGTCAGTTCTAGGGTGGAAAAAAGGTTTGCGATATAGTGATGGTATTATATCATGTTACTTCAAAATGGCTCCAAATTGTGAGTCAGTTGGAAGATATAAACCTACTATGAGGTCTAAAGCTTATATGATCAAACCAAGCTTTTGGCCATGTATTAACTGCCCTAGCTGATATCTAGGAAATCAGATTACCAAATAGATCTTTTAAAAAAAAAATCATGTATGTAAGTATAAAAATGTTAAATAGGAGAATATAGGTCAGATCCTGCATTAGTGTTACCATATGCTTTAATTTTACTCAGCTCTGTAGATGTGCATACAAAGAATTTTCCCAGTAATACGCCAAATTTGCATCCTGCCATCTCCCAGCTTCCTGGAAACCGGAAAAGGAAATTAAACATACCCCTACCTGATAAAGCCTGTCAAGCTCATACCAAAAGGTTTGCCTTCAGAAGTTTCTGAGAAATAGATACGGTTAAACACACAAAAGTGAGGTGGGAGAACACTTAAATTCTAATAAATGACTAATTCATTCAAGCAGGACGGGTTCTGCTGGGGAATGACCACTGCCAAGACCCACATACACAGGTGCATGGAGAAAAGCTATAGAACAGATGACAACAGGGGGGAAACACAACACCCAAGAAGACATCCTACCCTGAACGAAGAAATTCCACTGACCCATAAAAATTACCTCTGCGCCCCAGAGAAGAAAACATTTGTCAAGTCACATAAAGAACCTGTTAATAGCATATGTTCAAAAGGTATTACTCTGAGATGTTTCTGCCAGACTGGCAGCCTGTTCATTTGAAGATATAGGGTATTCCCTTATTCAAAGTTTTTGGTATGTTTTATAAACAGATTGAACAGATCCAAAAAAAAATCATACAAGGTAGTGCTTGGGACTAGAGACTGGAAATTATCACACTTCATCAAATAACACCAACAAACAAGCAGTACGATAAGATCTTTAAAACCGGTGAAGAAAGCCCAGGCAATATAAACAGGTTTAGTATATCTGTAGTTAACAGTAGTTAACTACTGTAAATCAGGAAAGCAATCAGAAATTTGACAACGTCAGTTGAAACATAGTTTTATCTAGTTTGTAACTCCAGATATTTTGGTTGTTGACTGCTGTTTTCAACTGTACAAAGATGTGATGACAGCTGAAGGTGATTCTTTATCTTAAAGGACAAATACCTGCACTACCAATAAAACCATGGATAAACAAAGCCAGTCTTCCAGGCAAGTAATCAGTCACTGTTATGATGCAGTTGTTAGCCTGGTTTGCTATGGTTCCTCAGGCTCTACAACAAACCATTAACAATGCAAGGTTTTGCCCAGCTGATTTTGTTTCCAGAAGCGTTTTGTTTCAATTTTAAGTCTTAGCTGTAGAAATTACAAGGGTCAGTTGAATGGAAATGGTGACTTGCTGGAAATATCACTTAGAGTACATTTAGATAATGCTAAAAATTACAGCAGATCTGTTCTAGCTCATCAAATCATTTCAGAAAGTTATTCACAGGATTAAGCCCAAACAATACTTTAAATCCTAAATGTCATCCATACAGAGATCACGTTTCTTCATGATGCTCACCTTAAACTTGGTAACGGAGTAAGCCAAAGAATGATCAGTATCGGGTATCTAAGTGTAATACACAGGGCTTGGAAAATTCAGCATGGGCAAAAGATAAGCGTATCGCGCACACAGACAGTTTCAGTGTCCTTGTCGCCATTCAGAGCTATGTCAAACAGCCAAGTAAATTTGTCTAGACACCAGTCAGTGTCACAGCTGCCAATGAAAATTGTGTGAGCAGCAATGAAACCACCTGCCTTCATCTACTGACCTTGTTCAGGAAAAGCATAAGCAGCAGTTGAAACATGATGACAATCAACCATGTACACTGCTGCATTCCCCTCTACCTTTCACGTCATCTCTCGGCCAGTACGGTTATTTGTTGTTATATGTCAGATGAGCTACTCAAGACTAGAAAACACTCCCTGAAAGAGGAACCAAACAAGGTCCTACTGAATGTTCTCTGAAACGCCTTCAAATCAATGGGAGGTTTTCAAAAGCCTGACTACAGACCATAATATTACAGTAATCTGACCTCTTACACCACCTTGAATGCAGCAATTACTAAGACTCCTGAACAGTACGCATGCCTGCTACCCCAAATATTCAGAGAGAGTAGACCCGTCCATCAACTCCATTTACCTTCAGGGTAATACTATTACCTACACTAGAAAGAGTAAAGAAGAAAAAGATTAGAAGCAGGGTTGTTCTTTTTTCCCCCTCTCCTTAGACGCTGCTTATGCTTTACTGCGCGTCCTAAAATTATTTGAGGAAAGTTGTTAGTATCTAAAATACCTTCCTCTTATCTTGTCATCAATATCAACGGAGGCTGAACTGTACATTCAAGCTTAAAATACGTAAAAAGGAAGTAAACTTACCTAACTGTCGTAACAATATTTAGATCATTCTTGTTAGGATAACTTTAAGCATCTCATTACCTTTTCATCACTTAGGCTTTTTATTCTGGACAGTTCACGGACTTGGGACTTGTCAGTTAGCATAATTTAACTATAGTGTCCTACCATAATACTGCATTATTTCAGATGCAAAAACAGAACACAGAGGAGTAAGTATTTTCAAAAGTTTTTCACGCGATAATTTTTTCATCATAAAAATCAACCTTCTAGCAGGCCATAAAATTATGAAAACATTGGGTGGTCTCGTAACAGCATACTAAAAACGTCTACATTTAGGGCAAAAACGTATCAAGAACAAAGCTTTACAGGACACAATCTGCCTGTTACAGTTTCTATTTCAACAGCTTAAGTGGATCTAGGACAGCTGGTACTTGAGTTACAGTATCTTTTCCTTGAACTAATTCCTAGCGTGTCATAAACTTCATTAGACATTAAAGGATACTATGACTATTTGGACAGAAGACTTCCAGATATCAAAACTGAAACCTTAGTCCTACTGAAGACAATAAAAAACTTCCAACCAGTTTGAAGGAGGCTAGGATTTCTGTGAAAAGTAATCCAAACTTTCCATTTTAGCAACTGCTTGTTGACACTTCAGCAACTGTCATTTTGGCACAAACCACTCTTTTGGAGCCAACAGTACCAGTGGCAAGTAGTCAGGCCTATCAGCAAAACTAGATTTTTAGCCTCATTTTTTGGTCCTGCGTTATCGAAGCACACAGCTATGCGATCATGGTAAGTTTTACACTGACCGCAATCATTAAAAGTCAGAATCTAGCAGGGGCAGCAGATAATCACGAAATCACACTGCTGAATGTGCCAGGAACAAAGAAGAAAGAAGTGCCAAGACAGGCGATCATAAGTATTCAACTATTGGTTAAGGAAAGCTCCTGCTGCACAGCAAAGACGACTGAATGAGTTTATAGTCAGAATGAACCACAGAAAAGGGGTATTGATCCACCACCACACGCCAGTAATTTCGATCTCCCCATTAAAAGTTTGCACCCTTTCAAAACAGAGCCCTTCCCAGGTTCCACAAGGACCACAGGCACACCGCTGTGGGAGCTGTAGCATCAGCCACACAGGGTCGGTATTTCGTGCCTACCGCGTATGAAGCTGTGAGACAGGAGGTATGCTGGCACACATCTACAGATACGTGCCTACAACTCAAATAGCTGGTAACATGCTGGCCCTTTGAATGTCGTCTACCTCTTTACTAGACAAGGAATGAATGTAGCAACTTTGTTAGACCAGCCTGGCTTGGGAATACCCTGACCAGTAGCGTTAGAAAAGCAGGGTACCTTTTGGAACATCCAAGCCCTTTCTCAAGTCCCTTCTCGCAGAACATGAAACATTACGTTGTTTTAAGTTTTCTAGTTGAACTGTGCACTCAAGGAGCTGAACACCTATGAAGTAGAAGCATTGGACTTTTCTACAAAAGCCCCAGATACAGACTCAGAAGCGGAACCAAATCAAAATGCTTTATTTCATTTAACTGGAAGTTACACAGACTCCGCAGAAGCCTATGGCATATCGGGGCTAACCCTGACCTCTTGCTGGGAAGTCTGCACACCCACAAGGAGCGGAATAGAGAGGATTTAACGGGTAGGTGATATCACATCTAACAACACACAATAGGAAAACGGAGGTGAAGTTAGCTCAGAAACAATAAGGAACTTCATATAAAATTTGCCTTCCACGGGAAGACCACTAGACAGATGGACTTTTACCTCTCGGAGCTGGCCAGCGTTTCTGCTCAAGACCGCGTGCCTAAGAGGCGCACAGAGGACGGATATCCAGGTTCACCACTATCCGCTCCCGTTCACTGACAGCAGGATTAACACCACGGGTTAGTCACACACCTTTTCCCAGCGCAAAGGCTAGCCTGCGCTCGAGGGAGCGGCACCTGGGCTACCAGCGCTCACAGCTCACCCGCTGCAACACCCGGCCATCCCATCGGCCCAAATTCACGCGCGGTCACCTCGACGCCAGCGCCGACCTAGCTGCAGCAGCAGAGAAGCAGAGCAGGTGCGGGGAGCTGCCCAGGAACGAGCACCGATAAGGGGAAGAGCCAAAACGTTTCAACTCCTTTTTTTTTT